GCCCAGCCCCCGGCGCCACCAATGCCCCCGCATCGCAACGGCAGCGTCGGGGCGCCGCGGCCTCCAGTCGTTGCGGACTTCCCCAGCGTATCGTTCGTGGCGCAGGCGGCCGCGGCGGCGGCGACGCCCGTGTTAGTGCTGCGGCACGACCCGCACGCGTCACCCGCTGCTGCCGGCCGCGACGCCGCCGCCGCCGCCGCCGCCGCGCTGGACGTGGAGTCGGAGGGCGGCGTCGTGCGCGGGGGCGTATACTGGGGCCGGCCCGTGGAGGAGGCGCTGCCCGCGGGTTTCTCGGACGCCGAGGCGGACACTTGGCGGCGGTTCACGCGCCGCACGCCCGTCGTCAAGGTGGAGGAGGGCTGCGGACGCATGCAGAACCGCCTACTTACCTTCGAGGACGGCACGCGCTCGTGCTGCCGCTACCGCCAGAACACCGACCAGATCCAGGGCGAGGTGTTCTCCTTCTACCTGGGCCGGCTGCTGGGGCTGCGCAACCTGGCGCCATCCGCGCTGGCGCTGGTGCGGCCCCGGGAGCCGCTCTGGTCGCGCGTCCGGCCGCAGCTGTCGCTGGCGCAGTGGGGTGAGGAGCGCGCCGTCGTGCTCACCAGGTAGGTTCACTCCCTGCGCGCAACCACCTATTCACCAAAGCCTTGCTAGTAGCTCTTTTTCTGCGTACAATTTCTGTTTACGTTTATCTATACGTACAATAATTAGTTGTTACACACGTAAAATGAGAGTATTTCATTGCTTTAAAATATATGTGAAAACTCCTCGGCCAGATTTCTACGCGTGAGGTAGACGCTCTCTAATCAGTTCGGTCGTGTAAAATGAGAGTATTATTCCGCTGCAAAAATGAGCTGGAAAACTCCTGTTTCAGACATCTATGTGTTCGCTATGCGGGCTCTAATCAGTGGTGCATGTAAAACGAGAAAATGCCACTCCTTCAAAAATATGTGAATAATTCGCGTTCAGACTTCAATGCGCGTACTAGGCGAAAGATCCGTGAAATCTCCTCATTCAGTCTTCAATGCGTATGCTAATCAAAATGGGCAATCGTGCTAAAAACCATTTTGATAAAAGCGTCGCCCAGTCGGCCGGCGAGCCTTCGCAGCGCGGCGGGGCCGGCGCGTCTCGGGCCCGACTCAGGCCAGGCTGCGGCCCCGGCCCCCTGTCGGCTGTAACTCAGCCGCGCATTCCTGGGCCGCACACAACGAAAATTCTCATTTTCGAAAAAAAGGACCCGCGGGACGCTCGTTTCTACGACCCCGCTGACGTCAAATTAATTTATCTGTGTCGCTTGGAGGAGGACGCGCTGCGATTATACTTTTCAAAACTTTTGAAGACGTGCCACAAGCTACAGATTGTAGTGGAATTTTGCCTCAGTTTCAATATGCCAGGTCTATCTCATGAAAATGATCGAAAATGTATTTTCACTAAACAGTTTAATATACTTGTTTAGTGCATAATAGTTTCTGTATTATGTTAAATATATTGTTGTTGCTTCGAGAAGCATGCGCTGCGATTGAACTCTTCAAAAATGTAGACGTGAATCAAGCTACACAATGTTGTGAAATTTTAGCCTCAGTTGAATGTATAGTTGAATGTATCATTAAACATTGAATATTTTTTATATTTATCTACATTCCAACATTTAAATTCGCGGTAGTTCATAATGTGTGAATTGCTGTATAATGTGTCAAATGCTGTAAGACGTCCATGAATAAAACAAAAAAACTCAAGGCATTTTTTTCTGCTATTTTTAAAGTTCAATAAAATGTTAGTGCAACAAACGTGTTAGCGCTGGCCTCCATTTCAACACTTGAAATTCACGTTGCTGAAAACGACTTACAAGGAATGATCACTAAATGTCTCAAAGCGTTTGAAAGTATGAGGGAATCCACAAAATGTTCTAAAATTGGTGAACATTCCATTTGATTAATATGTCAGAAAACTTAAGAGATGCTCGAGAGATGATGATTGTCTGAAAATATCGTCTTATGTATCAAATAAAATTTCATTTCTAAAATGAGTAGAACGATTATTAAACACCTCTCTTACCGTCAAATAAACTGTCAGGATGGCTGTTTTTTTCAGTGTTCGTTAAGCGCGATGAAAAAAGGAAGCGAAAATTATGTTTCATATTCATGTACTTAACGAGAAGTTACTGACGTAGAAAGCAGTTTAAATGACGTGAATTTTAGAATGCATTCATAATTCTGTTACGTTATCTTCAAAAAAGACTAATGGTTCAAATTTAGACAAGAAAGTTATATGTTTAATAATAATGCTTTGATTACTTTAAAATGTTTCAATTTTCCAGCAAAACATTTTTTTTAATATTCTGAGTAACCTCTGGTATTTTACATATAACGTGAACCGAAAACTCAATCATCTTCTGTCATGAAGTAATATTTATCCAAAAACTGTTTGTAGTTGAGATATATTTGGTAAATTCTGAGTCTTTCGTGGCAGTAATATTAGCACTGACTACTCTACACTGTACAAGCAGAACAATGTTTATCATGCAAGTGTTTGTTGGATCAGGCAGCAATATTCTCTTATCAACGCAAGAACAATATGATATTCTTTTCCCAGCCCAGAACAATCATTTTATAATTTCATGATTTGCTTAACGCTTGGAATCGAAAGTTGTAAATAAAATTGGGGAAGCTTTTCACAACTTTCGTCGCCTTTGCCGTACGTCAACACCACAAATATAAACGTGCCCAGGCGCGTCGGTGAAATGTATGGAATACTTTGTAACGAATAATGTAAAGCTTTGTCTGGAAAGGACGACGACGACGGCTGAACTGGACGTGTGCGAATGCTTCCCGGTGAGGTCGCGCGTGGCACGGCTTCCAAGTTCGTCGCGCTTAGATTTAGGACGAGCGACCGACCACGTGGTCGGATCGATTCGCCTTGCGCAACCCTCCTTCGGAGCCGCGTACTCAGAAATCCTTCCGAATATGTTATTGTCAATCACGAGAAACGCGTCCCCCTGTGGAAAAATAGAAATAAAAGCGCTCTTCATTTACATACAATACTACACAGTGTTCTGACCAAACTCCGTAAACGGGAATGAAAAATATTTAAAATAAAAGTCCGCTCGGCAATGTATACGGACTAACACACATTTTATTAGTAGGAATATTTCCTTGTCAAACGCACGACTTCCGTTACGTTTGTTTCATCGCGGCGCCGCACACACGCGCCCGCTCGCGTCTTCGTGGTGGTGGGCGGGAGATAGGATTCGCCGCCACTTCGCTACCTCCTCCTCCTCCACCGCCTTCTAACAAATAGCGGACAACACGTGCCCGGCGCGACACAGCGCGGTGACGTATGGGTTCCGCACCGCGCCTCGCCGCGCCGCGCCCACCGGCCAGGCACCTGCCGCGGTCGACGCTCGCGTGAGCGCCGCCAGGCGGCTACCGGTTGGGGTAAACGGGCGGCGGTTTTCGGTTCGAGCGGGATTACGATAAATAAATTGATTCACGTAAAAGATCAACGCTGTTGGGTATTTATCTTTCGATGTTGTACCAGAAGTCCTCCGTTTAAAATCGGTGGTAGTTTACAGAAGTAATAAAAAGTTTGATGCCAATTTTTTTTATTCGAGTAGATAATATATAATTTTTATATATATATATTATTTAAAATAAAATTCCTCCCGGCAATGTATACGGACTAACACACATTTTATTAGTAGGAATATTTCCCTGTCAAACAAGCGATTTCCGTTAAGTTTGTTCGTCAAATTGAACATAATATATTTCGTCTCTCTCTCTCTCTCTTTCTCTCTCTCTTTCTTTCTCTCTCTCTCTATGTGTGTGTGTACAGAGAGAGAGAGAGAGAGAGAGAGAGAGAGAGAGAGAGAGCGAGAAACACGCAAAATTTGTTTTTAATTCAACATTAAAATTATCATTTTTTCTCGAACATTGTGTTTGCGCCAGAAAAAAAGGAAATGTAGACGAATCGTGAGGTTCAGGTGTACCTAAACGTAACCTATGCACAAAAGAGCCTACGTACTTTGACGGTTGCAAATCTTTGTCTAAGAAATTTGATTTATTTGAATTCCTCGAAACGTTGGGAACAATAGTTAGCAATTTGTTTGAACTTTTATACTAGGAATTGTTTTCTATGGATCACGTAAGAAAGCTCATGAATGCCGGGAATTAAATGCAAATAATAATACTCTCAATAACGTTAACTCTCTCTAGTAGACGTGTTCCTACCACATATGACTTATCTTAAAAACTCTACCTTATACACGTTTCTCTAGAAGCTCATTTGTGTTCATAACCAGTTATTAGAATTTCCGCTCTAAGTTATTTTTCCGTAGTTTTTAAAATCATTCTGATGGAACATCAATACACGAATGATAAAAGGCGAATGTAATAGGGATTACTGTGAATATTTCTATAAACACATTGGTGTAACCCCTCAGCATATTTAGATTAAATTGAACATTCTGAAACAACGATTATTGGGATGAAAACACTGGTTTTGTCGTATATAATAAGCTTGCAGCTTGTGTAATGTGAAAGAAATATTTAGGAACAAGTGACAGCATTTTAATTGATTCTTTCTTCGTGAGGAAAGCTCCCCATTACTCTAAAGTTCAGAACTCATCCGACGTTCCTACTAACGAAGCACGTGTGAAGCGCGTGTATTTTCGATCCGTAGCAAGCGACCTCGGGGCACGAACGGGCACTTGACATGGCGCGAGACACCCGCATACCAACGAAACACGCAGCACTCCGCTCACGGCGCGAGCGCGTATCACATTCGCGAGTAAACAATACCCCTCGCCCCCCGGCCCCACGCTTTCCATGCCCAACGCGCCGCCCCGCACCGCGCAGCAGCCTGAACAATAGTGATACTTGTCGCGGGGCAATTACCAGGCCGTTCATCGCCGCGAATGCTCCTCTCATACCGAGGTAGCGTGGAGCGTGCGGGACACGCTCGACTTCTGCGGTGGCCGTCAGCCGATGCCATCGAGCCGCCGACCGCGCTGTTTGTTTTGAATTAGGACGCTGCCAGCGAGTGTCAAGTATAAAATATCTCTTTTAAGCATCTCCGTAGGTGGTTATTCATAGGTAAATTGAATAATCGGGTAATTAACGTGTGCAAACCTGTATCGTGTGGTTTTCTTATCGATATGCATGAGGATACAAAATGGGACGTGAAGGAATAGCTGTGCAATAGACGCAATGAAGAATTATTAATTCATTCTTCCTAACTCGATTCTCTCGGTTATAAACAGAAGTATACATTCAAAATTCGGACGACAAACTGCAGGAAAAGAAAGAGAAATGGTATAGGTCTTTCCTGTGATGCTGGTGTTAAAGTGTTAACAGTGCATGTACGTTATACTGTTCCGTTGAATTTCGAAGCATGAACATTCTTCGCATGTTGTAGAATAAGGTTGAAAATTTATTTGCTTGTAACTAAACTGATAATACCCTTGATTATATTTATAATCTCATCGTCGTTAAGTGTTCGAAGAGATCTAGCGCCTGCCATTTAGTACCGCAGTTTATGCTGGTCAAGGCGCCGAAAAGAGCCGTTTGTCGTGTATGCGAGTCCCAGCTCCGCACATTAAGTTAAAAAC